GTGGTCGAAGCGAATAATTATCTGTGGAAAAAAGACCCCTTAGCATATGGATGAAATCCCAGTAATACAACAATATCCCCAAATGCATGAATTTAGAGACTACAACTCTACAACCAATCAAGAGTATGAATGATATACATTATTTTTAGGCCTTAGATAATCCAGCCACTTAAGCATTGCTGAATTCATCAATTTACCGCTCATTTTGTGCTCAATACTCATCATTTTATGGTAAAGAATTTTCCGGGAAAGGATATTGCAACTCAACAGAAATTTATTCGATGCATATGATTTGTAACTTCATAAATTTGAACAGTAATAGTGTTATTGCATGTATACTATGATGATGATGTCTAATTTTTGAATTGAATAATATAACTCCATAACTAAGTACTAGTAGCTAGTAACAACAACAACAACAATATACTCAGTGAGGTCTGGGGAGGGTAGAGTGTCCGCAGACCTTACTCCTACCTTTGCTTGTGTGAGGTAGAGAGATTGTTGCTGGTACACCCTCGGATACAACTCCATAACTAAGTACTAGTAGCTAGTAACAACAACAACAACAATATACTCAGTGAGGTCTGGGGAGGGTAGAGTGTCCGCAGACCTTTGCTTGTGTGAGGTAGAGAGATTGTTGCTGGTACACCCTCGGATACAACAACAACATACCCAGTATTATCCAACACTGTGGGTCTGAGGAGGGTAGTGTGTACGCAAACACCTTACCCCTACCTTGTGAGGATAGAGAGGTTGTTTCCAATAGAACCTCGACTCAGGAAAGCATAAGCACCACATTAATGAAAATATAGACAAGAAGGAACAGTACCAAAAAGCCATATAAAAGACGCTATGATGAAAATGCTTCTAGTATAGTAGAAGTAATAAATATGCTTACTGTGGGAGTCAGCCTCCAGCCTTACTGGGGTGTTGGTTACCCAAGTGCCATCTCCCCTTGAACCCTTTCCTATTTGCATCTTTCTGTGAGTTTTAAAGAGAAAATAGGAAGAAGCAGAGGAATCAGAAACGATCAATAGAACCAAAAGAAAGCATATAATGTGCATGCAACATAAACATGAGAAACAATGTTTGTATCCACAATGTTTGGCCATAAAAAGCATGCATGCATGAGACAATTCAAGTGAAGTAGAAAAGAAAAATACCCCCAAACTGCAGAAGAATTTACTGTTTACTGAGTCTTGAAAACAGAGAGCTCTTAACCAAAGTGGGAAAAGAGACGAATAGAACTTGAAGATAACAAAATCCAACGTATATATAGTGTTGAGTGTTTGGTTTTCAATCTATTGCCACGTGTAATTACTACCCACTCAACTAAACAAAGTGAATGAAACTATCAAATTTTCAATCAATACCACATGTTCTAGTTGCTTATTTGAACAGAACATTTAACCAGAGGTAACTTTAGTTTTTCTTTTCATTTATCACTTTTTTAAAGAAAAAAAGGTTCAAATTTGTCCATCTACCTATTTAAAATTAGTTAATTTTATGTGTAGTTACACTTTTGGCCCTTTCATATTCTGACAATTAATTAATCATTTCGTGTGACTTTACCTATCCAATTTTATCGGGAAAAAAATTCAATTTTACCTCTCAACTTTTGACTAAGGAGCTACCCTCAAGTCGAAGCTCTCAAGGGCAATCAAGACTTTCTCCTGATAATGGAGAAATATTAAACCAAAAGTTTGACAAAGTTAAAATTGCTCAACTTTGAACAATGAACAGGATGAAGGCAAATGTAATCACTTTACGTTTCTGTTTACACGGTTTCAACATTTCCCACTCGAACTTTATTCTTTTCCATTTTTATAGGCTCCACCTACTCCATATATAGGCTATATATTCTTGAAAAGAGCTATATTTTCTCAGTATCAATATCATCATGAAGGTGACAATCATCTGCTCTGTCAATTAACAGCAATGCGTATCACAGGAAAAACAACCTACTGTCAAACACAGAAACGTACACATTCAGACCAAAGCTTAAATAGAAAATCCCTTTTGGCGTATTCTGCTACAGAAAACACTCTCCCCCAAACTTCATGAATGTATCAACTGTCCCTAAACAAGAAACAATGCTCATCCCGTCCCTTATTTTCATTTGCCCAATGTTGTATGCTGATATAAAGAACATACAGATCGAATGCAACCTCATGAAACATATCATTACAACAACAAACATACCAAGCATCAGATAAACACACTGGTTGTTGAAGAGGGACCAGCAATCTGCAGAGGACCTTTGCTCCAATCAACAATCTCACTGCAGTGTCCACCTCTAATTCCATCAACCAGCTTGACCATTCGCGGGAGTTGAGTTTTCAGTAAGAATCATATTCTTTTACTTGCAACCGCTTTCAGCCTATGCCGCTCAGCCCTAGAGCCTATGACTTGTCCCAAGATAAATGCTGCTATGGTAAAGTCCATAGCTGTTTTCGGCAGCAACACGGATTTCCTGAGCATTACAATGAATGGTACAGCTGCATGTACGGCTGCAAACAATGTTCGCGAAAATATTTCAGTGTGTCTCTATATGCATAAAGGAATATTTGCATCCATGCCTATAACATCAATCACTAAGATTTTTGCAGGTAGAGGAAATGGATCATACTGAAATAGAATGCTATTTTATATTGACTCTCCTTGCCCAACCAAATGATAATATTAACTTCCTATATTTTTCATCTAGCAGCAACAATCAACAGTTGTATAACACCATAGCTGTATACATCAGTAGGAAGACTCAAATGGCCATCTATTTGAGTGCTAAAATATGATATTTCCAAGACCTTGGTTGCAAATCCTTCTCTACCAACATGCTTCTTGGTTTTATGTCACGAAGTATTAATAGTTGCTTTGATTCTGTTATGCAGCTTCTGTGGGATAGCAAGGGGAACATGTATCAAAATTGTCTTGTCATCTTCAATTGATCAGCCATAGAGGCACTGAAACTTACCTTTAGCAGCTCCATTGGCTATCATCATTCTCTTCCTCCATGTTAAGCACTTTCCTTTCCCCCTACAAAACTTAGTACAGTACCATAAGCCTGAAGCATGGAACTCATCGATAATGTAGTGAAGCAAAGAATCATTTATAACATACTAATAAACCAGAATCCTTCTTAGAAGAATGCAAAGACATCTAAATATACACTTGTCGGCATAAACTTCATTCACTGAATATATATTTCCTTCCTTAGGAATCAGAATGTAAGAAGTAATGTTATATCTTTTACTAACTGGAAAGATGCAACATTGGTCCAAAAAATATCAATGCAAAGAAATAGCAAGGCATAATTGGAATAAGTCTATATCATCTTATGTTAGTCAAGCAAGCAAACCTTTATGATTCTTAACCACCAATTCAAGGAAATTGAAGTATAGTTACTTAAGACATTCTTTATACTACAGTCAGACCTCTCTATAACAGCATCCCTATATAACAACACTTCACTTTAAAAGCCAAAAAATTCCGGAACCAACTTTCATGTAATGTTATAATATATGTTCTCTGTAATAGCACTTCGCTATAACAACCAAAAATATCCGGAACAAACGAGGCTTCCCTATATAACAACGCTTCGCAAGCCAAGATTTTTTTTTGAACCAACTTTCATGTTATGTTATAATATATGTTCTCTGTAATAGCACTTCGCTATAACAACCAAAAACATCCGGAACAAACGAGGCTGTTATAGAGAGGTTTGACTGTACTATAAATGAGCCAATTCATTTAACCATTTATGCTAAAAAAACAGACACCATAAATCTTCAAGCAAGATATACTCTTGCAGTAAAGATGCACCCGAACCACAGTTGCTATTTTTTTGTTTTTGTAGTGTTATGCCAGCGGCAAAAGAAGCTTTCCGATCCCCCTTCCTGTCATTATTATTTCCAGAAGAGCATCAAGGAATCATCAAAGCACGACTCCCTAACACAAAGCATTTACATGACTGATAACACTGTAAGAGAAATCAAGCAATTCTAGAAAATAGAACGATTACAAGGTTTAGACCACTACAAAATTTGCAAGATCCAACATTGAGACCAGAGTGCACAAAATCTGCAAGTTTAGTATCAGCCAATCAAGCTTAAGGACCCCCACTCACACACAAAGTAGAAAAGAGATTCTCCTTGCTTCAACATATATGTCGGGCAGCCAAAGAATACCCTTACCTTACCAGCACAAAACTGTTTGTTATCCTAGATTGCATAGCAGCACTCCAGGCACAACGGAATACAAATGAAAGATGAACACAAAGACTGACAGGAGTGGAGAGCATCCTGAAAGCCAGAAGACAGTTTTACAAGTTGGGGGCGGGGGTTGGGGGATTTTTTTAGGGGGGGGTGGGGGGTTGGGGGTGGGGTGGGGTGGTTCCTCTA